AGGGTCAGATATCTGTCACACCTTGAGTCAGGGGAGAAAGCTTCACATTATTTTGACAATTTTAAAAACTAGGCAGGATCAACAGGTGGTGTGGAGGTAAAGGGGCTGGATCTCACATGGTCAAGTATATGATTTTCATACCAGACACAGTGACTTGAAAATCAAACAATGCATGTGCATGTGTACCCAACATTCTGAGAAAAGAATGGAGAAGGAATTGTGTCATGGCCATCCCCTAGTAGTGATTACTCATACCCTCTTTGTCTGTCTTTTCAGTTACCACATGTGCCCTATGGGATAAATAAGTAAATAAATAAATAAAGCAAAAAGCTACACTAACAACATTTCAGAATGGAACTGAGATATTAATGAAAGACTTTTTATTTTCTTTCTAAATGGACTTCCTGGAGAAATAGTCTACATTTTTGCAGAGAAAAATGGAAATTTATTTAGAATTTTGGGATATTCCTTTGTTATCTTTGTCTCATTGTTATCTTTGCCTATTTTTATCTTTTTCTATGAACTATAGTACACAGTAGTAAATTAAATTTCTGTGAGATTCCATTCTTTATATTGTAAGTGTATACCTAAAATTTCAGTTAAGTGACAAGGATGCATTTGTGATTACTATCATTACTAGTCTCATAAGTCCTTTCTGCTCATAAACATTTATATAATACCTGATCTGATATTGCAGGCATATTATAGATAAAGATATAAAAAGTACACAGTGGCTTGAAGAAAAGGACTGGTGCTGTTCTTGCCAAGGATCGATTGATATTCTTTCTTTCTGAGGCTAATTTGATTTGATTTTTACCTGCGCTTACATTGTCCTTTACCTTACATGAGGAAAAAAAACCCACAAAAACAAAACGATACAAAACAAAACACTATTTAACTGTTGATTTCCACTAGTTTACTGTTAACTATACATTTACCATCCTTAAGTGCTATGTGTAAGATATCCCCTAATTTTCTATTTTCTATGGGATAATCAAGGTCCATAGATCTATGAAATTTTCAAAACTATTAATAATATATTCACTACTATATTCCCACATTGCCATGAGATGGCAAACAAAATCCATTTTGCTTTATACTTAAATTTTGTGTAATATATTCCACTTGTTCCCACCAGGTGGCGAACAAGCACTTAAAAACTACAATATTTTTGAATAATTGTGTGTTATAGCTCCTCACTCCCACCAGGTGGCGATGAAGATCCTTTATATTTCAAATATGCTATTTCTTTCAATTAAATCTCATTTCCACTAGGTGGCACTTAAATCCTTCAAACTTTCAAAAGTAACCTATTCCAGGATCATCACTAACTTTACAATCTACTTAAGCTGCA